GTGTCTCTACAGAAACTGAAGTTTGGTTTCTTTTTTTTCTAATTGAGTTTACAGAACATTTACCAGCAGCTGGTCTCTTCCTCCATATGAGTGCAGTTGTGATGAAAACAGCCGCACACATGAACACCAGCACAATGAAAACTACAGACTGACTGAAGGATCCTGGCTCATATTCAGCCACATCTGAAATTGGGGTGAAGCGATTAAAAAAAAATAAAAATCAGTAAGCTACAGACAAAGTTAGTTTTGTTGTTGTTGTTGTTATTAAACATAATGTTGAATTTGATTTTCAAAGGGGCATTTGACTTAATTGCTAGTTTTTCTTTACCAAAAATAATGTCCAGTTTGTTGTGCAGACTGAGGTGCTTCATTGTGCAGTTGTATTTATGTTCCTCACATAGTTCTTCTTTACTGATCACCAAACTCTTCCTCATCTGGTACATTCCGTCTCCGTTGGGCAGAATCTCTCCTCTTGTGATCTGATCATCATCCACAGGCTGACCATCTCTGAACAAGGTCAGGTTAATGTGATGGGGGTTAAAACCAGTGGCCAGACAGCTGATCTGAAGCCCTTGAGAGTCTGAGAGCGTCTTCCTCATGAGTCTGACTCTGGGTTTCAATACAGAGAAGGATGAGAAGTTTTACTGTCGGTAACGTGTTGGGTTCATTGCATCAGTCATTAATTTGTGATTTATAAAACATTCGAAAGCAGATGTATTTTCTGTCAGCACTGCTGCCTGGGTCATATTTATCTTAATTATGCTGAAGTTAATCAGGTCGATTCACCTTTCCTCATCACATTGTTCTTTTCCATATTCAGGTACCTCCGCAATGTTTTAAAGCAAATAGGTTGATAAATATATTCATGCAGGAACTTTTTATTATGCCATTCTTGTTGGCTCCGAGTCCATTACATCCACGGCTTTATCACTTGTGTAGCGAATCAGCTCAAAGGGGAAATATGAATAATTAATTATAATTAATTATAAATATTTAGATCCGCTTTAAGTATTTACTTGACCTCTCAGTGTCAACTGTCTGTCAATTCTAAGAACGTTAATTTCCTGGTTAAGGAAAATAACTTTCTTACTGTACAATACTACTCAGAGCCTGTAGCAAAAATCTGCATGATTAGGGACTCCAGTCATGAGCAAACAATGAACAAGGTCAAGTGTGATACAAGTAAGACTTTATTAACTACATAAACACTTAAAGGGGTCCTATTATGCTCTTTTACAAAGTCTTGATTTTGTTTTGGGGGTGTACTAGAACATGCTCTCATGCTTGCTGGTTCGAAAAACACATAATTTTTCACATAATTGACATTATTAAAATACCCTTCTCCCCATCCTGGCACAAACGGCTCGATTAGTTCCGGCTTCTGTACAAGCACAGTAATGGTATACACAATGTCCTGAGGAGATGTGTGTTCATTCACAGAAAGGTTTTTCTATGAATTAATTAGAGACGAGTCCATTTTTATGGGCATTGTGTGTCTTTCCTAAGGGTAAATTAATTGTGAGTTTCTCTGCCCGCATAAAACCAGTGATATCAGCATTGGTTACCATGGAACCAGAGGCCTGTTCTGGCTTTCTGAGGTGTTAGATGCATTTCGGAGGAAGGGTCCATAGACCCTCATAGTTGTTTGTTGACTGAGGGGTGTTACAGAGTATTTGTTAAACATAACTAAAGAAAAATTGTCTGATTGGTCCAGACGCTACACTAGTTTCATGCCAATCATGTCTTTTTCACTTTTTAGTTTAACAGAAAATGCATGTGACCAGCTCTGTTCAGTTAAGGATGCTTACTTTCTCTTCACTAAGTAGGCCTAACAGAAATGTTGAAATAATGATCCATAATTCTATTTTTTTTTTTTTATTACTTTATGCAAAAACACCCAGTCATAAATAACATTAAAGTTATCCCATGACCTTATATCTCTTTTTCTTTTATAAAGGGCTCACATACTGTCATTTTTTTCTAATTGTTATAAAAGCTGTCACATCCTACCACCTCATCATCAGCAATGAGAAACATAAAGATGGACATAAAGACATTGAGAAGATATTTCACTTGAACTTGGTCTTCATTAATTCCATATCATGTTCAGTGTCAACTGATATTTATTAATGTTTTCAGCTAATAACAGTTGTTTGAGCCCTGTAATTTTTCCTACACTTTGCCATGCCAATAAAAAACATAAATTTACATAATTGACATATGCTGTTTGTTTGTTTATTTATGTATTTATTTATGTAAAACCTAAATAGAAGCCACAGTATATTATAAAATCAGGTAGATAGAGAGATGAAAATTAATATTAATAAATAATATATAAAAAATAATATTAATATTTTAAAAATATTTACTGATATTAATTGAAAATAAATTGTAACACCAGGTCCTATAAACTTGTCAAAGCACAGTTCTTTATGGAACTTTATTAAAAAAGGGTTCTATTTAGAACCAAAAAGGGTTCTGCTATTGTCAAAAGTCGAAGAACCCAATTTGGTACTGTTTAGAATATTTTACCGGGAACATTTTGAGGAAGTTGTTGAGAAAACAGATTATACAATGTTCACAATAAAATATTGATACAGAGTTGGAGTTGGAATCGGATACAGAGGTGCTGGAGGATGTTTTACTCGCTGGTACAGTGCGTGGCCCAAACAACAAACCTGTCTCCAGGTCAGCGGAACTCTCCCTTCCACAATAATTACCTGTACATTTTTTTATGGCTTTTTCAGTTTACGTATTTCTTTTTTTATCCTTTACGTATTTACATACACAAAAATCAGTTTCAATCCAGGATGACACGATTCTTTTTTATCTTTATACCTTTAGCGTTTCACATGCACATTTGATATAGCCTAGACATCTTTCAGTATTGGGGCTGGATCTTAGAATTATATGACAGTTGCATTAATTTTGGGTGTAATGCTGCTTTTGAATAACAGCTAGATTTGTTTTCATCCAGAACCCAAACTGCCTACTTGAAGATGAACACGGATGACGCAATAAAAGTCTCCATTTACAACAAAGGTACTGTAACGTTAATCTGTTTCTACTTTCTAGGTAACGTTAATATTGGTAACATTTTATTTTAGAGTTCAGCTCTCACTTTTAACTAGTTGCTTATTAGCTTGCATATTACTAGTATATTGGTTGTTAATTAGTATTTAAAGTGCATATTAATGCATTTTTCTGCATGACCTTATTCTAGGCCTACATCCCTCAATCCTACTCAATACCTACATTTAAATGCTACAAAAACTACCTTACCAACTATTAATAAGTAAATTAGGAGTTAATTAAGGCAAAAGTTGTAGTTAATAGAGAATATGTTCCCTATACTGTAGTGCAGTGGTTTTCAAACCTGTCCTGGAGGACCCCCAGCCCTGCACACTTTGTATGTATCCCTTATCAGACACAGTTCTTGCAGTCTCTACTAACAAGATGATGAGTTGAATCAGGTGTGTTAGATGATGGAGACATACAAAATGTGCAGGGCAGGGGTGCTCCTGGACAGGTTTGAAAACTCCTGGTCCACAGGCTTGTGTTCTACAGCAGGGGTTGCCAATCCTGTTCTTCAATCCTGAACTTTGCAGGAAGGTAGATCACCAGGAACAGGATTGGGCACCCCTGGGCTACAGTATATTCCAAGAATAGGGTTAGCTTCCCTAACTCAAATGTTCATGAGAAACATCCAATCTGTGAACTGAGCATT